AAAAAAATGCTTATTAATAACTAGTCAAAGAAAATTTAATTTATGATATTACCGCTTCGTTGAAAGTTTTAACAACACCAACGTATTCTAACATTTAATGCATTCATTAACATTAAAAATGAACACATTCTGAAAAACACCTCTAGACTTATTTGTTGTAATCTCATTTTACTGTATTATGTCTTACATCATTATATTATATTTGTTTTTGAATATTTAGAAATTGATTATAAGATTTTAATTGTGTCACTTGATTTATCTGACACGATTTTGTACTACTTTGTAGATTATTGAACACCATTTGACGTTGAAAGAATCGCCATGTCATTAGTAGATCTTGGTCAGCAACTTACCCTTTATGTTACGTATTTTGTTCTTATCATAGGTATAATTGGTAATGGAATAAATATTATCATCTTTTTAACTAAGCCAACTTATCGAACAACTCCTTGTACATTTTATTTTCTTATTGGTTCCATAACCAATTTTATCTATATAATAATTAATTTCCCTTCTCGTATTGTCACTGGTTATGGATTTGATTTAACTCGTACTTCAGTAAGTTGGTGCAAGGCAAGACAATGTTTGGTTAGTACACTCAGTTTAATAACTTTAACTTGTTCATGTTTGGCAACAATTGATCAATTTCTTGTTACATCTCAAAATGTTAATCTTCGTCGACGCAGTAATATTAAATGGGCACATCGAATTGTATTGATTGTCATCATTATTTGGTGTCTTCATGGAATTCCTATTGTTTTATTCCGTAACATTTCACCTATCAGTAAAACATGTACGTTCACTAACGTTGTATATGCCACTTACATACCGATATATTATATTGTCATTCTTTCTGGCACTCCAGTCTTAATAATGACCTTTTTCGGATGTTTAACTTACCGTAATATTCGTGAAACACGAATACTTGCTCAACAACAGGCTGATCGTCAAATGGTAAAAATGACTTTGGTTCAAGTAATACTTGTTGTGATTTGTATCACTCCATATGGTATTGATAATGCGTATGGTTTAATAACATCAAACGCTCAAAAAGATGCAACTCAATTAATGAATGAAAATTTTGTTGTAACAGTAGTTACTTTGTTATCCTCTTTCTACTGTTCGGTAAGTTTATTTCTATTTCTTATTGGATAAATCAATAAGTACTTCTTTTTTTTAGGGAAGTTGCTATATGTTTTTGATTTCATCAAGTAGTTTTCGTCGAGCTGTAAAAGATCGGATATTTTGGTGGCGAAGAGCAAATCGAATTAATCCATTCCAAGCTGCTACAGTTGGAAGAGCAAGTTAGAAACAGAAACAAAATTAATATGAGTATTTTATATCTTTAAAAATATCAGTTTTTTGTATTATGTCATTCCATGTTAATTTAACATCGAAATAAAGATGAATGTTGTGTTGGAAGTAGAAAAATGAGTGACTATTTTTAGATACATTGCATGATATTATCTTTTGATAAATAATAACAAATAATTACTTATGTAGTAATGAAATTCTGAAACAAAAGGTTTTTCATTATCGTAACAGACTAGTTCTAATTGAAACTTCTCAGTCGATGAATCAGGTGTGGGTGTCGTTGAGGGTCAATGGTTGGTTATAACTGTAGATAATATATTCATATCCTACATCCACACCCTCACCCACCTCACTATACACCTAGATTTTTCTTTATTTCTCTGTATTATCTATCAATACAATATTCTAAAATGTTCGCTCGCATAATAACTTATTAGAAGAAAAGCTTAGCTAATCGACGAAAATCTAAAAGAAAATACGAAGGAATATATACCTAAAAAGAAAATCAGTATTGTTCACCTACCACATATCAGAAGTTTTGATATTTTAAATGATTGATATTTTTCTTTTTCGATTTTTCTTCGTTTGGATATTTTTCTTTCGACCTTTATTTTTCGATTTTTTTTACGCAACATTTTTTCTATCGACGCTTTTATAGTAAATCCACACCCATCCACTCACACCCTTACCCACACCCACACCCACATCCGCATTTTCAAAATAGTTTAGAACTCCATTCTTTATATTTTTCATGAAAGCTATCGCAGTATTTTTGTTATTTCTTTCGTATACGGACAGCTTCCGACACTATAATGTTTGGAGATAAAGTTGTCCTAATCTGCATCTCTGTCAAATCCAAAGTCCTAATTAAAATTATCAATATGGATATTGAGTTCAGTTGGTTGTATACCAAGATGATCAGGAGAAGGTGGAGCTGTCACTAATTCTAGAACCCAGCCTAAACAGAGAAGTATATCCGCAATGACTTCGGATTTTTCTATCGGCTGAGCTTACTCATATCTCCATCGCAAACACAACAATCTAACGGCTGTTCTTCATTATTTAGTTGAATTGCCATGTCCAGAAGTTCATTTTGATGATACACGCTGTCACAGGTACGGCAAGCTATCCGTGCTACATCTGGTCCAATATCCTCCTGACAAATAACGCACTTCCTAGAAATCGATATTAACAAACGTGTTCGAAAATAATGTTAGACATGCCATGAATGATTACATACGGTAGCGATGACAAAATCTCAAGAAGCCATGCTAAGAAAGAAAACTTTGAATGAAAGTTGAGCTATTTTATATCAGAACACTTACACATATCTGCACGGCAATTGGGACAGTTCGGTTCACGTTCTTCATTACGCCTTATATTTAGCCACCTGAGTATACAATTTCTATGATATATTTTTGAACACGCTCTGCATTGGTCACTCGGATCCACACGTTCTATATTTTCGAGACAGATAGAACATAATCTAAAAAAATAGTAATGCAGCGTAAGGATCAAAAATTGAAAACAAACTAATCCTAATCGGTATGAATAGACTCAATCCGAACCAAGTTCAGGCTGTGTTTTTTTCGAATATGTATTTGAACTCAACTGGACATGACCTGACTTCTGAAACAAATAGAAATACCAAGCGAACTCAGATCATAAATGACTCTGTAAAAATATGATGAAGTTAGAAAAGATGAAATGAATTCTAATTGATTCTTCGACATACTTAATTGAATTTTAGTATATCATAGTGTATTTTTCTCTCCCTCTAATAAATACATTCGCTGTGTTCATCACAACTAATTACTTTTGTCAGGTATCATTCTTTTAAACCTTCCTCTTTTTTTCTATTGTGGTAAATAACGGTAAGTAATTGTATGAGATTCATATTAATAGTTAAAACAACTGCTAATACTTAGGTATTAATATCAGAAACTTTATTTTAATCTCTAGGGGTATTAATTAGCAATAACTTTTATCAGTAACAGCTTTAATGTAGTATCCTATTCGTGCAAGAGTCAATTAGAACTATAGGCTACTGGAATCGAGTAAAATTCGAACTGGTTTGCGAAAAATGAATCTGAACCGAACTGTACTCGAACCCTCTCTTAAAAATTAATATGAAAACAGTAAAATCGGTTCGAGTCGGTTTCTAGTATTGATCATTTGCTTAACTACTTACTCAACTGGAAGTTGCTCTTGAGGTGGTTGTTGTTCTTCAACTGGTTCTTGGAGTACTGGAGGAGGAGAAGTAAGAGGTACCAGAGGTTCATCTGACTGCTACAAAAGACGACGAACAAATAAGCTGTCGTTTATAATATCAAATTTTAGCTTTTATCGCTTACTTCAGTTTGACCTTGAGCTCGCATCATGATTTTCTACAAAAAAAAATAATGTGCATATAATCCATACTTCAAATAGACTTTTTTGCCTCTTTATTTTCACATTAATTGATAGAGCGTAGACACGTTACTCTACGAAACTACTTTTTATCTTAACCCTTTTATCTAGAAGTGGATGTGAGAGAGAAGCCGATGCATATCTATATCCTCAGGACACATACAATGTGAAAGTATACAGTAGAACACGACATCTAAAATGCAGAAATAAATGATTTTATATTTTGTATAATGATGATAATTATGAAATGAAACTGGACATAAATCTTGTATAGAATTATTATTTTGTAATGTTTACAATATCAGTCAGACTGTTACATGATAAAGTTCATTGTGCCATAATGGTTGTTGCTTGGTTTGCATCATGGTCGGTCTGATCGGGAGATGTAAGCGCGTCTTTTACCTTGCAACAGCCCTCGAACATTTGTTTCAATTCCGCCAAAAATTTTGAGATCAATTCCGGTTGCAAATAATTTGCATATTCAACTGATTTCTGTTTAACATAGTTGTTCAAGTCGTTGGTAAGTCTAAGTAATAGATCTTTCTCATGATCAAACATACCACCTTCCATTATACATTCTTGTTCTTGAGCCCATTCCATTAAGTATGTCATATTGAAACAGAAAATGTAGACGACCGGCTTCATTGATGGCGGTATGATTTGAACAATTTCAGGAACGACCTGTTTGGCATATTTGCCTTGGATAATAAAGAAGAGTTTGCGATCTTTCACATGTTCTAAGCATTGCCGACAACTCTCCACCGAATCTACCATCTTCAGACTGTTGGTAATTTGACGAAATTCCTCTTTGAGTTCTCGACAATTCTCGTCACGACCGATGTATTCATCTAACCAAATTATCATTACGTTGTTTCGAGCAAGAATATCGAAGTGATTCATAGGCTGTTCTGGAGTTTGTGCACCTGCATCCATTTGAACTATCAAAAGGAAAGCATAATTATCGCTGCTGTTTTTTGACCGCTTAAGATAGAAAAACTCCTAATGTTCTGTAGCTAACAGAGAATTTTCTGAACATTATCCCATACAATAGGATAGAAATTGACCTCTTGACAGTTTGGTTACTTACCTAACTTCGATTTCATCTTGCCAACAATCTTTTCTATCTTTTCAATGTACACATGAGTTGGTGCAAGAGTTTTGAGCCATATTTCACGAGCTTTTTCAAAATAAGCTAACGCTTCCTTATAATTTCCTTCTGCTTGATACATTTTCCCCATATTTGCGTAGGTTTGTCCGAATTGTAGGTGATCTTTTCTAAGGCGTTGACGATCAATTTCAAGCGCCTTCTGGAAATTCTCTCGTGATAATTTAAATTCCTTTGTATTTGTATGAATGTTAGCTAGATTCTTATAAATAGTTGACATAACAGTTGGATTCGATGTGAGACATCCAGCGTCGAGTGCTTCATGATGATATTTAATAGCTTGAACATAGTCACCCTTTAACCAATAGACTTTGCCAATTGAGACGTAGCACGTCATAATATCTTCCTTTCTAGTTGGCGAATCGCATTTCATTAGAATCGTTAGCAGCGTGTTGTACATATCTAACGCTTCATCATAGTTTTTTAATTCGACTTCGACCGCACCCAACGACTTGTAACACCGAACCGACTCAGAAGCACTTAAAGATGGCCGTTTTAAGACGTTCTGAAAATGTTCTCGGGCCTTTTCATATTTGCATTCCACATATAGCCAGTCACCTACAGCAAAACAATCATCTTGCTTTTGAGTAGCTGGAGCTGTTTCTTTTGTTACATCAGTAGGCATCTTAACAATTGGTTTATATCGTATAGAAAACTAGGAAAAATAATGTTCACTTCACACAAATCTTTTCAGTAATAATAATAAATAGTTAGAAAGTGGAAAGAAAAAGAAAAAGCGAGAAAACGCTCAATTATTCGAAAGAGAAAGACGGAAAAATTGCAACAACATCTTAGACAAAAAAGAACGAAGAATTTTCAACTAGAGAAAAATTAGCTCTGCCTAAGAGACATTGCACGCAAGCCACGACCGACGTTGCTCAATGAATCTCACCGATTTGGCTGATATTTCTACAGTAGTTACGCATAAGTGTTTTAGGAATAATCTGCAAAATTTTAGCTCAAACGGCCGAGCCATTCCTGAGATATGACGGGACTAAGCTAGGGGGGGTCAGGTATATTTGAAGACTTTTTTAGGGCAACTCGTCTCACTAAATTTTCATTTTCTCAACAATGGTAAAAGTTACAAAAGAGATTTTTTTACCACAAATACTATCAAGGATGGGCTATCTTTTGGTTGTATTGAAAGTCCTCTTTTCTAAAATTTTTGTTGTGCCCTGCTATATACCATTTTTAGAAAATGTGTCCAACAGTGCACGGTCACTTAGTCACATTTGAAAGAGCACATCCGAATGTATCGACACACAATAGAAAAAGTTTGTTATTTTGAATTTTTTCTAATAAAGTTTTTTCAACAATTTTCCAGTCTTTTTCAATAGATTTTACCTCAGGAAAGGTTGTATCTGACTATTTTCATCATTATGAATTGCTACGGTCAAAAAACTAATATCATACTCAAAATCAGCGCAAAAAAATACACTGAAAAACATATTTGACGCAAAAAAACAATTTTACCAAAATTTACCTGTGATATCTCTCACTAGTTATTTCTTCCAAAAACTGGCTGAGGTCCCCTACAGGTAAATTTTGGTAAAATTGTTTTTTTGCGTCAAATATGTTTTTCAGTGTATTTTTTTGCGCTGATTTTGAGTATGATATTAGTTTTTTGACCGTAGCAATTCATAATGATGAAAATAGTCAGATACAACCTTTCCTGAGGTAAAATCTATTGAAAAAGACTGGAAAATTGTTGAAAAAACTTTATTAGAAAAAATTCAAAATAACAAACTTTTTCTGGTTATTCCTAAAACACTTATGCCTAACTGCTATAAAAATATCAGCCAAATCGGTGAGATTGATTGAGCAACGTTCTGCTGTAATCGATCGTGGCTTAGGTACAATGTCTCTCAGATATAAAGAAATTCTGTGACGAAGAAGAAGAACATGATTAAGAGAAATAATAATTAATAAAGACCTAAGTTGATGATAGGACATGTTTCAAATAAAACTCGTTCTATATATCTATTTCTATTTGTTAAATAATCACTTCTGTCATGACTTACCTGGAGGGTGTGAGTGGAATGCATTTAATACCTATATTCACACGCACATCCACACCCACAAGAAATCCATCAATTAGAACTTTAATTATCACATACAGATGATTTTGAGAACATTCAATGAATCTATACCATCAAGAATTTTAGTCTGCTATAAAGTGCATATATATAAATATTCTTATGGTATTGTAGGATTTTAGAGAAAAATAAAAAGTAATGCTTTATACATGTGTTTATGAGATTGTGATAAAGGTGTTGTACACGGTAAATGCCAATCTTTATTCAATAATTCCACTAGAATCAGTTGAATTTATATTCATGACTGGTTGTGGCTCTACTTGATTTTTACCAGAAAAACACCAAAGTTTACATCGGCGCCAATATTTCTTAATCAAAACATGCTTTACTTGTCGACGAAATCGTCGAAATGCTATGCAAAACATATAGAATGATATCTATTTGAAAAGATGGCAATAGACAAAATATATACAAACAAATCATTTGTTATAACTTACTGCATAGTTCAAATTCAAAAGTGTAGTGACAATGGATGACACTAAGTTCTCAATAGCAAAAGCATAAGAGTTTGATGATGGAGTAATCTTTGTAAGATATGTATACATTTGAAGACATGTGAATGGCAAAGTTAAAATCAGAAAGATAATGATACGAATAAGTACCATTGCTGTTAACTGTTGGTCAAGTCGACGGCGAACCACTGGAATTTGTCGTCGAACAATTCGTCGAACATTTTGATATGCTAATAAACTGAATATCAACGTAATTGTCATGGGTAGAAAACCAATTAAAACAGGATAGTAAATATATGAAATATAGTTTACCATTTGTGGATGGAATACAGTGCAAACACCTTGTTGAATATCAAGAAGAATAACAAAAGGTATTGTATGTAATAATGAGATAATGACAATAATGATAGTGAGACAACGTGCTAGTTTAATAGTTGAAAGTTGTCTAAGAAAGAAAAGATGACTAGTTGAAAGATATTGATCTATAGCAGAGAAACAGATTGTGTAAAGTGTAATTACTGTACAAGATACAAAAAGAATTGATCGAAGTTTACACCAGAGTATAGACAAAATTGCAACATCATAATTACCCATTGATGCCAGCAGATAAATAGCTAATGAATTCGTAATGAGAAAAATATTTGAAATAGATTCAACAGTGAAATAGAATGCACATTGATTATTTCGAAATAGTTTCAGAGAAATGAATACAAGAATATTGAGAAGATTTCCAATAGTTCCAACAACAAATAAAGTAATGCTAGAATATTGTGACAATTTGTTAGTAAAATGAATTATATTGAGACCAGTTGATGTAGACATTTTGAGGGTAAGATGAACAGTATATGTTAGTTCAGTTTCTTTTTTTTTCCTTTAGAAGAAGTTTTTATTAATTCTTTGAGTTGATTATATTTTTATATTCATCACATGATGTTTTTTTCTCTTTAATTGCAATGTGAATTAGATAAGTACCCTTGTGGAATAAGTAGTCTTCAAAAAGTATTTGAATAATTTCTTTTTCATAATATTTATGATAAATTTTTAATTACAGAATGTGTTTTTCAAATATTGTCACGTAAACTGTTCTGAATAAATGTAGTTTCATAAATCTACATTATTTTAATAGAATATATATAATTAAATCCAGTGAAGCATTATATTTCAAATATACTTTTTATTTTAATGATAAAATAAATATAATTTGACAAATATATACATTGAATAACAATCATGAAACGTTCATTTTAAGAACATCGATCAAATATGAGCTTTTATCAAAATTATAATAAGCTCTTTTTATTTATAAAATATCATATGATAATGGAAATTGATAAAGAACTTTAAATGCATTTTCTATAATTACCTCCATTAGCATTACGCGTGACAAGATATTTGCTTTTCAAATCGAACTTACACTACTGTATAGTGGAAATACAACGATATTTCTACTACTTAAAATTATGAAAGCATATGAAAGTATAAAAAAGATTTATTCCATGAATAATTCAAAATACGTAATACGTTCTCATAAATCTTAGAAACAAAACTTAATTATGAAATAATGTTTTGTTACCATCTACCATTCGACATTTAAACCCATGGCCCAAAATCCAATTTCGAGTTCTGTAGCAGTTTTAAAAATATTGATGAGTTTCTTGATACGAACTGTAGAGTACCATACACCATAGTCAATAACTAAACGTTCAATCAAGTCTGCACCTTCACGACATGCTACTTGATAGTCTTCAGCAGCATAATTCGAAATCCATTTCCAATACGGTGAATCTTGTTTAGTTTTAGGATCTTCAAATAGACGTGTTCCTATTTCACCATATCCAAGTAGACAAGCAGAAAGTGCCACATAAAGATCAAGTAAATCGCCACTCATACCACAATCAAGAGTGAATCGTGTATAAGCTAAATTTGGGCGAGCTTCTCTAATAGATGATACACTCTCAGGATCGATTCCCCATTCAGCACAATACGATATGTGAAGTTCACTTTCACGACCAATATGACACACAATATTTGCTGCATGTAAAATTTCTTTCATAGTGCTAGATTTATAGGCAGCTAAAGCATTACATCGAGCAAAATTTGTTAGAAAAATATAGTCTTGAATTAAATAATGTTTGAAACTTGTATGTGGTAAAGTGCCATTACCCATATCTTCTACGAATCGATGATGGGTATAATCGAACTAAACAAAAATAAGTTCAGTAAATATAGAAATTTTTCCATAAAATGAAATACAAACGTACCCATTCTTGTGTGCACTCATTTTTTAGTAGTTGTATGAACGATCGCTGTTGTGAAATCATGCGAGGTACTTGAATATAACCGTAACTTTTAATATGCACGATATCATTATGATCTTTTGATACAACCTCTTGCTGTTTATCGTCTACTACAAGTGCAGAGTTCGTTGTTGGTTTAAAAGACTCATTAGGTGTTTGATCTGAACACATTGAGAGCGTATGTTTGAGTACATCATTAGTACAATCAAAATTCGAAGAGTTCTGTCCAATCGAATGAGTATATGTGATAGCATCTTGTATGGCACGCGTTATATCGATACCATGAGCTAACAATGCTGTGATTGTTGCTGACAATATACATCGAATACTGTATTCAGTTTTTTTAGGTAGTCGTTGACTTTTAAAAACAGTAATGTTTATACCATCGAAGAGTACGTCTTCAACAACATCATTGATACCTTTTTTATCTTGAATCTGTTTCGATGGAGATGGAATAATATGTTCACCCTTAATCAAAACATATTTTGGACCTAAACGATGTAGATCTTGTGCAGCACATTTCATGTCACTTAATGAGACAATATTGCGGCCAAGTAGAATACTTGTTTCTTCTAGAGTAGGTGTTATTAATGTTACAAAAGGCAAAAGTTCATTGCGTAGAATATCGAGACTATCGACAGGTAATTGTGTGATAATTATAGCTGGATCAAATACTACAATAGGTATCTTTGTCTTCGTAATAAATGATACTATGCAGTTGATCAAAGAAGACGAATGAAACATACCTAAATTAAATGAGAAAAAAATAAATTTATAAAAATAAAAAACAGATAAGAATGCGTACCGATTTTTAAAGCATCGACACCTATATCATTGACAAGTGTATGAAATTGAGATGAAATAAAATCTATAGGTATGGTATGAATGGTATTTTCGTTGGAAGTTTTTCGAATGGCCAAGGCAGTGATTACTATTATAAAAAAATCAATAAAATCAGATTAAATGGTTATCGAAGTCAATATAAAAAGGATAATATTTAATTATTTTCAATCTTACCTGACATGGCAGATGTTGATAACGCTGCGAACGTTTTAAGATCAGCTTGAACTCCAGCACTGCCATCACTGAACGAGTCACCAATAGTAAGAACACGTGGGTTTTTAGTAGCGTTTGAATGCAACATAAATACGCAATTGATTATGTAATGTATGAAAGTTACGAAAAAGGAATAATATCTAAAAAAAGATTACAAAAATAGTATCGAAATTCACCATATAATAGAATCAGTTACTGTGATATTTACTGATTGTTAATCATAATTTTTTTCTAGATTCACTAAACTTCTGGTCAATTTCTCTTACGATCTTATTTAGTAGTAACT